ACGTTTAAGAAATCAAGTTAATCAAACAATCAATCTATCACTATTGTTTTATTGTTTTATTGTCTCGAAATAATAATAAATAAATTTAAAATAAAATAATAAAATAAATCTTTTCTTGCGTGATAAAATGGGTCACGATCTATCGAAATTTGTTGATCCCATCGTTGTAGTCATCAATGCTGTGGTTGAAAAAGAATCCAACGATACAAAAGGTCTTCCTTCTCGAAGGATAACTACGATAGCGCCGAATTATAACAGTGGGGAGCTGGATTCTTCATCGGATGTTTCAACATTAATTTCCACGCTCTTGGAAGATGCCGAAAGGAAACTCAAATCCAAGGATTATACCGCTTACGTATCTCTCCTACAACGAACGTCCAACCTCGGTTCCGCTTTTGCCGCAGCAAAATTAGGATCCTTATACTTACACGGGTTGCAAGGTTCATCCGCTTCCAAGGCATCGTCATTCAAGGACATAATATTACCAAATTATGAACTATCGGCACGGAATTACTTTTTAGCACTGAAATTAATAAACTTAATTAATTATACTCTCTGGGACATGAACTTAATATTAGAAGTATTTATCGGCATAACGGAATTATATCGATATCAACTTGATCGTGAAAGTGACTTTGAGTTATGGGATGATGGGATAACCATATTAAAACAATTTGATTCAACTTTGAATGAATCACAATTTATAAGGTTTCAAACCCACGAGAATAATCAAATACGTAAAGCTTGTAGGGTTCACATCTTGTTCAATTTGGCCAACACCAAGGAATTAGATCGTGATTTCGTTGACGCTTTGCGAATTTATCAAGATTGTGAAAACATTGGGTTAACATCTGTTTCTTTTAGTGCAGATAAATTGATTAAAAAATCTCACACTAAAGTGAGATTATTACAAAAGAATTTGGAGAAAGGAATTCCAAACGTTTTACCAATATGTGTACAGTGTGATTTTGAACCTAAAGGCACCAAGGAGATTTGGAAATTATTAGTTTGTGCCAAATGTCAGCGCGTTGCTTGTTGCAGTCGTCAATGTTTACAACTTCATATAGCTAACGATCATTAGAAAAATTAGAAAAAAAAAAAAAAAAAAATTATTAATTGATAATAAATAAACAAACAAATAAATGACTTTCATAGTCGTCTGTAAAACGTCACATGCTAACTTTTATAGAACAATCATTATTAAATAAAATATCATTTATCCGATTGAATAGGGCTAATGTGTGAAATGTTACCTCATGTCACACTGTTACTTGTTCAATAGTAAATAATTTTTTTCCGTTCTAAAAATGTCTGATACAAATTTCAAAGCTCGGTTAGAGAAATTCAATTATTATGTCAAAAACTTACCTCCACATGATTACTTTCTAAAAAACATTTGGGACCGGACAAGTTTAATATCTTTCGAACATGATAAATGTATTTTTAAGTACGTGGTTGACCCAAAAGACTGTAATTCGTCTGGAGCGATACATGGTGGATTTATCGCTAGTTTAATTGATATCGTTTCCACCGCTGCTATACTTGTCTTTCAAGGTAATAAACACTAATTAGTCATGATATAGTAAATCATATGATCCGTAATGTGATTTTACTGCAACGATATTTAAGGATTGATTTTATTTATAGATAAATATTTTAAGAGCGGAGGAGTTTCAACAGATTTGGCAATATCTTATGTGAGTGCTGCTAGAGCAGGAGAGACTTTATTAATTGAAAGTTCCGTATTTAAAATTGGTAAGTCACTCACGAATACTCATACCATACTTAAACAGAAGAACTCTGGTAAAGTAATTGCCATGGGGCAACACACCAAATTTAATGGTAAATAAAAACGTTATTTTTCATATTTTGGGTTCTTTAATTTAATTTTTATTCAAAAATTATTTTTTTTTTTTTCTTTAACTCAGTTGATTCAAAAATCTAATAAAACTAAAATATGAAATATTTATAATAAATGTTTATAATAATAATTTACAATTATTTTGTATATTCTTATCAATTTCAAATTTTTAAACATCAAAATCTTGATTGCCAAAAAAGTAGCAAAGAAATAAAATAAAAAAATCAGAGATATGAAAGAAGATGATCTATAAGAAAAGAGGAGCCCATGATGTTAAAAATAAAATTTTAAAATAAAATTTTATAGTACACTATTTATAAAGAATATAACAAAACAAATCACAATTATAATTCCATTCCAACGAGTATGAAATCGTTGGAATGATTGAAAGTCCCAGGCGCAACGATTTCAAACCCAATATATAGAAAAATGCGAGTAACCATGGCTAAAATTACATTGAAATGAAATTAATAAATAAGTGAAAAGTTTTTCTTAGAATATCAACATTAAAGTTGTATTTTAAACAAAAAAAAACTTACAAAGGTGGTTATTAGAAGAAGAAGAAGAATACTTATCAAAACATACAACTAAAGAATGGCATTTTAAGCATTCCTCAGCAAGTTCGATAACAGCGACGATACTAAATATCGGAAAAAGTGAAAAAAATTCCCCCCACAAACAAAAAAGATGCGAGATGCATCCAATTTTATTCATTCGTGTTAAGGCCAAAATTTGTGGATCTCCATTGTATTCCTATTAAAAAAATTTCATTAATTAACGTACCTTTCTTTTTTTAGGTTGAAAAGGTCGACGCTTTCCATGGCATTTCCTCTTAAAAACAACGTGCCATCCATGACAAAACCCTCCCAAACACACTCATCGTGGGACGAGATGATTGTTATGTACCGATCTACATTAGTTGTTACTCCCCGGAAAACCTGTTCGAAGAACGAAGGTTTACGATTTTTTTTGATCGAACCTTTATTTTTGGATCCCAGAGGACTTCCTAACGTCGCGAGACTGCCACCATTGTCACGAACCAGGAAGTCCGGTTTCAAGAAAAATTCGGTAGATTCGGGAGTCATGTCCTGTATTAAGGGATTATGAGCATTTTTTTTTGAGTGCCATCTATGAGTTACTAGTTAGGGGAACGACGATATTACATCTAAATTGGATAAATTTTTTGTAATACTTACAGGAACGCCACCCTGCCTTCTTGCCCACTTTATCAAGAATTTATTGAGAATTAAAGAATTAAATTATTAAAAAAAATTTTGTCAAAGCGTAAGCCCGATTATTATAAATACATTAAACTTACAGGTAGAATAATAATAGCACTCACTAGTGCTAGCAGTACTGGAAGAAGCACCTTTGGTTGAGGTCGAGAAGACAGCCAAGAGCTGTTCTTTGGGTTGAACGAAGCTTTGAAAGCTCCTTAGTGGGACGATATTATTCTTACTTTCCATTTTTTTATTTTTTTTATTTTTTATTTTTTATTTTTTTTTTTTATTTTTTATTTTAATTTTAATTTTTATTTTAGTTTTAATTTTTATTTTAGATTTAATTTTTATTTTAGTTTTTAAATATGGAGCCACGCTTGTAATATTTGTTCCTGAAAATATAGCAATTTAAAAAAAAACTTGAACGAAATTTTGAAATTTTTGTTGTGAGAATATTGGAGTTACTTTTACTGGATTAAAAGAAGTTTTGTGAACAATTGTTAATTTATATGGGACAAAAATAGTAATCTAATGATTGGCTAATTCTAGAAAGATTTTTTTTGGCGCTTATCAAACGCCCATGCAACCTTTCCTTTTTCAATCGAAAAGTTATTCAGTTTGTTCGCTCAATATCCACCAAAAAAAAAAAAAATAAAATAAAATTAATTTAATTTTAGCCTGCGCAGATAAAATTATGTTTCGTTTATCACGTGATAATAAAATATTGTCATTCTGTTCCGAGGGTGTAAGTAAATGATTCTTACCTTTGCCCGCAACTGTCTTTATCACGTGAAAAAGTCCAAAGTTCTGAATGATGTAACGGCTGTTTCCTCGCATGTGTTTATCTTTTGCATGTAACATATCGTCAACCAATAATTAATCGGGTATAATACGGTACCTATTTTTGAGTGATAGGCTTGTGACTTCAGTTCAATAGTTCAATTCTTACCTTATTTTATTTATTCATATACTGAAGGTTCATCATTAAATCATAAATGTCATCAATATAGAATTTTCATATTTTATGATTTATAATATAATTTTTGTCACAAATTTTATGAATAAGTATTCTGATTACTTATAATTATATATATAAATATAGTTATATATTTTTTTAAGCTTTATACTCTTTAAAATTTGAAATATCTATTAAACATATATCATTCTTTACCAAAAATATTAGTTTTATTTATAAAATAAGTTTTTGAGCTTGAATAGCATTAAAATATAAGCTTAAAACTTTTTCTTAAAAAATTTGTATTTATCTCATTATTTTAAAATAAATTTTGTATAATTTTTAGCATTACATTTTCTTATATTTATCAAGTTATTTCTTAGCATTTTTTTTTAAAAAATAAAATAATATATAAGAAATTGTTAATATAAAAATTATAGAAATACTTTTTAAAACCATAATTTTTTTTAAAGAAAGATCATTTGAGTTATTAAGATCTATAAAGAAAATAAAAAAAAATTAATTTTATATAAAAAGGAATATAAAATATTATTACCTATTTATAAAAATAAGTTTCAAAAAATAGGTATTCTTTTAATAAAAATAAAAAATAATCATTTACCTAAATGTTTATAATTGTTTATAATATTTAAATTTAAATATTTCTATATATAAAATAAAAGAAAATATTGATAAAGTAGTTTTTAAATAAATAAATAAATTAAAATTATTATTTTTAAGTTTATATAGTTAATTTTTCTATAGTTACATATTTAAAACAACTTATATTTACTAGTCAAAATCAAAAAAAATCAAATTATAAAAAATCAGTCTAAAATCACAAATTATTAAAAATCAGCATATCTGATATTATATATCAAGAATTAGCTAAAAATCGCCAAAATTTACATATTTTATTTATAGTTAATTAATATACAGTCAGAACTCTCTAAATGCATCCCTTCGGGACTGAGTAAAAGAGTGCATTTAGAAAGGGTGTGCATTAATGGAAAATATACATTTTAACAAATTTTTATAATATAATCAC